ACAAAGGTAATGATTTCATGACAGACACATTTCTGATGAACTACTCGACCACCTAAAGCCACCGGTCAAGAAGACCCCAACAACCCCCGCCACCCCAAAATCACTGGAAGCTACCCAAGCCTACAAACTGAGAGACAAATAGACATGGACCATCAAAAAGCAGATCGAGTCCTGAAAGCCCAGCCACCAAAGAAGCCCAATGACAGCCAGCCACCAAAGAAGCCCAATGACAGCCAGACACCAAAGAAGCCCAATGACTGCCAGCCACCATCTTGGCGGACATGCCAGCTCACCGACACGAGAATCACGGACAGCGCTAGACATAGAAACACCCCCAGACTCACCACACACAGTAGAGAGTCCATAGCATGGTTTAGCAAATGGTTTGGGATCCTTTTAAATTCTTCAGACTATATAAAGGATTCTCACTGTCTACGAGGGTACTTCTCATTGCTCTATGTGTTATTCTTAAGTTTATATTTAGAACCTCGTACAGGTTTCACTACTTCCTTTTCGCTGCCTCAGTCCGTGAGATTGATGCGTATTCCATGAAAGGTTTACTTGCTCTAATGTAGACCTCTATTCGTGCTTTTGTACTGGCTCTCCAGTATATCCCACCCAGTTTTTAATTTGCATTACTGTAAGTTTATCTGGTGTCTAGTGTAATTCCTACCCCCTAATTTTTCCCACAGTGGGTAGATGTATGATATTCGTTGATTTTCAGTCATTATGAGTATTATTTGTGTGTGTGAGAGAAAGTATTCTGTTTAGGTGTTTTCCTTGTTTTTAGTTTTTGGACTGATATGGCTGAGCTTCCCTATAACAGTAGTCTTTAGCATTGTCTCTGTTATCACAGAATGTTGGAAGTCGTAACCAAACCCGCCATTGCACATTGGGCCAAAGATTTGGGACGGAGATGTGCGGAGATGTGCGGAGATGTGCGAAGATTTGCGGAGATGTGCTTAGGTTAGAAAATTAACTTTAATAACAGATGCATAGATGCATATCAGCTGGTCCGTGGGCGAAACTCTGGCTAGTAGATGGACAGAATATTTCTGTTTTGATCTGATTGTTTTAGCAGCATGATTTGTTCCAAACGAATTGGTGTCACCTTTCCTTGTGAGTAAACAAGGCAGACAGAGCGAGGGATCATGCTGCATGTGCAGCTCTACACAAATGGCCGGGGTTTTGTGCCCTGGAGATGATGAATTTGATCTTGGCCTTAAATAGCTGTGATTCATGCACCTCTCTATAAAACAGTTTATTTCTGCTGTCTGCACAGACAAAAAAGGTCAATGACAATTTTAGGTAGCATTTATTTGCCCAGTTCTTTATTTTCTCTACTGACGTTTGAATCGAACATGAGGCTGTTGTGATTTCAGTGGTCGTCTAGATAGCGAATTCCTTGATAAGCATTGGTTCTATATGTTTGATAGATATATGAGTGTATGTGTGCCTGCTTGTGTAGATTAGGTGTTTGAGCATGAATGAGTATGGCAACGTGTGTGTATGCATTGTTGACTGTTGGTAGGTGCAGACTGTTTGTATTTGTAAGGTTGTTTGTATATGTTTGGGTATGTAAGTGATGTATAGGTGTTTGCGTGTGTATGGGTGTGTAAAAATGTTTGAGTAGGTATAGGTGAATGTGTATGATTTAGTCAATATGTATGATTAGCTCCTTGTATGTGTATAGGTGTTGGTGTATGCATGAGTATGTATGAGTGTGTTTATGCATTGGTATGTGTATGTATGATTGAGAGTGTATACCTATATATATATGGGTGGGTGTGTGTATGTGTGGGTATTGTCGTGGAATGGCAAAACCCACCCCTACACATTCGACTACTCGTGACGTTAACGCCTCTAGCGGGCAGGTCACATTTCAAATATACACCCGTCCGGTGGCTATATAGTTCATCATGTCTATTTATACCTTTATCTGACGAAATAGATATTTCTATATTTTCTAGGTCTCTTGTGAAGTCTACATTTTCAAACTTACAGTTGTGGGGTAGAGGTTCTCTATAATAATAATTCTAATCCGAGAAGCCTATTCACACCTCGGCGTATTGATCTGGGAGCTTCTTTCTTCGAAAGTTTCTCTCGCTTCATTCTCTGCCAGATTTCCAAGTAGATCAGAAGTGTTTTGCATTTGTGCTTAAATTCTGTCTTGAACAAAGTACCAGTCAATTCCTGGAGGAATCCTGAGCTTGGGTAAGTCGATTATAGTTTACGAGTACCATGATATTTGTATCTATAAAGTTAACCCGCTGCTGAAGGGAGGAATGATTCAGCTATGAGACATCATAGAACAGGACCGTTCTTGGTGTTTAGGTACCCACAGCCACCTAAATCAAAACTTTCCCTTTTCTAGCATAGAGTTGGTGCCCTAACTAACCAATACTAATGTAAATGTTTTAATCTAGCAATCTAATCGTTCTTTAGCTAACTAGTTGGGGAATTGGATCGAAATAAAGCCAGCAGATTTAATTGGGTCAGCGCACGGCGTCTCCGCGCAGCGAGCGACACACAGTGACGTCAAGGGTTATTTATAGCAGACACTAACACACCACAGGGTCGACTCGTGTCAGTCGGTGGAAAAAATTATATACATATGAGAGAGTGTTGGTCTGTGTGACTAAAAGTGCAGAAGTGAATGTGGAGAGATGATGTTCTCTGTCTAATAGAGTCTATCTGTCTCCACTGTGGAACTTGTCTCCTATCTCTTTTACTGACTGACCAACAGAGATACATGGGGACTTGAACTGTCTCATTATCATGAGAGCTGTCCTCTGAGTGATTGCTAAGGGTGGAGGGTAAATAAATTATCTAGGCATGTGACCTCTGAGATGACTACTAATTCTGAGTTCCTTCTTGACACAGGATGATATCTCCTTGGAGGCCAGGCAGTCAATCAGCAGTCCACAAAATCACCAACTACCAAACCATCACCATGGTAGACAGCAAAGTGGAAGCCAGAGTGTAGGCATCAGCTTACAGGCCGCCGATTTGTCATTAATCAGAGAGTACCCTTTTCAGGAGCCTGTTTGGGCTCCAGTGACTGAGAGGCAGTTGTTCCAGGCCACCAGGGCAAACATTATACCAGAATACCCTTTTCTGGAGTTTGTTTGGGCTCCAGTGATTAAACTCTGTTTGTGACTATTTTTACCAGATCAGCCATTGAATTGAACATTCCCAAAAGTGGCAGCCTGTTCAAGTAATCATGAACCGATGAGTGCAGTGACGCCATCCTGGACTAGATAAGTACAGAGACTCTATGGTTTGATGCCTTGTTCTATATTTACAGATCCATTCTGAGTCACAGTGATGACATCAGGCTGTCTCTAGGAATCTCTTCGAGTGTCCGTCAATGTTGCTTTGGTTTTGATCTCTCATTATTCCAATTGTTCTTGAATATGTTTGCTTGAGTCTTATATGATATATATATGTTGCATTTATTACATGTCTTTGGAAGTTTTTATTATTGACTTGAGTGTCCATCATTCACTGTTCAAAACTGTCTAGAGTATATGTATGTATAACCGGTAATCTTAATCTGTGTTAACATGTAGTGCCATAGCTTGAGTTGCCCTACTCCTGAAATAGGTTGGGTGTTTTTGGCCACGGGATACCCTTTAGACCAATACGAGCCGACACTGTAACATAATACTGTTTCAGAGTGCTGTTGGTTCTTAAGGAGAAATCCTTAAACAGGCACGCGACACGAGCGGTATGTGACAGCATGTATGAATGTAGTGTATTCACAGATGGGTAAGCTAGACTGTTTCTGTATGCGTGCATCTGAGAGTATGTCTGCTCGTGTGATATATGTGGATGTATGCGTGTATGGGTGTCTGGGTGTTTGTGTTTGTGAATGTGTATATGTTTGTAGGTATATATGTGTATGCATGTGTAGGAGTGCGTGCATGTGTGTAAATTAGTTTGCATGCATGTTTGTGTTGGGATGTATATTTATGGGTGTTTTATTGCTTGAGCTTATATATAAGGTATATGTATGAGACTGTGTACAAGTGTTTGTGCATGGATGGATACGTATGACTCTGTGTGTGTGTGTGTGTGTGTCTCTCTCTCTCTCCCTCTCTCTTTCTCTCTCTGTTAGTTGCTGTGTGTGCATAGGTATTTGTATATGTTTGTTTATCTATGTGTGTACATGCGTATAAATATGTTAAGACGTATGAGAATGTATGGGGATTGATTCCGGTTAAAATGGACGCTAGACAGCAGCGCTGTTCGAAGCAGAGGCAAATTTTTTGCTTCTGCCGGACGGTGGCCGAAGTATTTTTGCTCCATTTGTAGACTGGATATAGTTTCGTCACCCAGCTTCTGAGTTGAATGCATGGCGTGACCCTGTGAGCTGCGGATTGCATTTGGAATGTATTTTCGACTGTGACCAACGTGGTGGTGTGAATTGTAGATTCAGAAAATGGCGTGATGCCTGTCGTGCAATGTTGGCCATGTGATTACAATTGATCGAGTGGGCAGCTGCTGATCTGTTGGCGACAAGTTCCGCTATCATCAACGATGAACTGCTTTTCTAATGTTGGACTGTTTGTGTTAGCACTTCGGATGGCTACCGTATGCTTTATTGCGAGTGAATGCTGAGACAGCAGTCTGTCAATCTTCCACAAGGGACTGTGATAAACATTCTGAGTGTTTTTCGTTGGCACAGGAGCGGAGCAAAGATGGGGCGACCCGTTTGCTATGAAGCTGAAACTAAGACTACCAGACTACCAGATGGGGATTGATTGTGAATGTGCAGAGTATGCTTGGATAACTGTGTATGAATTTCTATCCTGCAATCCCTGAACAAACATCACATGGCCTGATAAACTTCTATCCTGCAATCCCTGAACAAACATCACATGGCCTGATAAACTTCTATCCGGCAATCCCTGAACAAACAAGCCCACCACCTTTTTTTCCACCACCACGTGTCCAAACAAAGTCCAAACAAAGTCCAAACAAAGACAAACACCTACATCCTGTCTGCAGGGGCCGTCCTTGAACCATACAATGCAAACTGTGAGGACGCCTACAGTGCCAATGACAAGGCTGAATACAGCAATCAGCAGGATAGCCCTGAAGTAACCACCACTCCGCGTCTGCACGCCTGAAATGGGTGAAACAAACAGGCAGATCACACTTAGTTTCTGTATATCACATGGTCAATGTTTGTTCACATGGAAACAAACTCGCAGATCACATTTAATTTCTGTTTATCACATGGTCAATGTTTGTTCACATGGAAACAAACTGGCAGATCACATTTAGTTTCTGTATATCACATGGTCAATGTTTGTTCACATGAAAACAAACAGGCAGATTACATCTAGTTTCTGTATATCACATGGTCAATGTTTGTTTACATGGAAACAAACAGGCAGATTACATCTAGTTTCTGTATATCACATGGTCAATTTTTGTTCACATGAGAACAAACTCGCAAATCACATTTAGTTTCTGTATATTACTTGGTCAATGTTTGTTCACATGGAAACAAACTGGCAGATCACATTTAGTCTCTGTATATCACATGGTCAATGTTTGTTTACATGGAAACAAACTGGCAGATCACATTTAGTTTCTGCACATCACATGGTCAATGTTTGTTCACATGGAAACAAACTAGCAGATCACATTTAGTTTCTGTATATCACATGGTTAACGTTTGTTCACATGGAAACAAACAGGCAGCTCATATCTAGTTTCTTTATATCACACGGTCAATGTTTGTTCACATGGAAACAAACTGGCAGATCACATTTAGTTTCTGTATATCACATGGTCAATGTTTGTTCACATGGAAACAAACTGGCAGATCACAATTAGTCTCTGTATATCACATGGTCAATGTTTGTTTACATGGAAACAAACTCGCAGATCACATTTAGTTTCTGTACATCACATGGTCAATGTTTGTTCACATGGAAACAAACTCCCAGATCACATTTAGTTTCTGTATATCACATGGTCAATGTTTGTTCACATGGAAACAAACAGGCAGATCACATTTAGTTTCTGTATATCACATGGTCAATGTTTGTTCACATGGAAACAAACTAGCAGATCACATTTAGTTTCTGTATATCACATGGTCAATGTTTGTTCACATGGAAACAAACAGGCAGATCACATTTAGTTTCTGTATATCACATGGTCAATGTTTGTTCACATGGAAACAAACAGGCAGATCACATTTAGTTTCTGCATATCACATGGTCAATGTTTGTTCACATGAAAACAAACAGGCAGATTACATCTAGTTTCTGTATATCACATGATCAATGTTTGTTTACATGGAAACAAACAGGCAGATTACATCTAGTTTCTGTATATCACATGGTCAATTTTTGTTCACATGGAAACAAACTCGCAGATCACATTTACTTTCTGTATATCACATGGCCAATGTTTGTTCACATGGAAACAAACAGGCAGATCACATTTAGTTTCTGTATATCACATGGTCAATGTTTGTTCACATGGAAACAAACTCGCAGATCACATTTAGTTTCTGTATATCACATGGTCAATGTTTGTTCACATGGAAACAAACAGGCAGCTCATATCTAGTTTCTGTTTATCACATGGTCAATGTTTGTTCACATGGAAACAAACAGGCAGCTAATATTTTCTTGGAAAAGTATTAAACCAAACGAAAAGTAGACCATCGAGCTCTGCAATGTAGCAAAATACGAGTGGAAAGTGAACGTTACGGCTACAGAGCCTTTATCAGCACATTATGAAATTCAACAGAACCACATGTTCAGACACAAAGACATAAAATTACGTAACTGACGTAGAATCAACACTGAGACGACAGAAGTCATGTCAATCAAAAGAAAGAAGCAGAACCTAAATATAGCAGCAGAGGGTAACGGCGTAGAACAAGCATCCAAGTTCAGTTATCTGGGAAGAAATGAACAACCGATACAGTCAAGCAAGTCACGGATTGAGACAGCTAGCCGCCATTTATAACACAAGGCCATCCCACAGTTAGCACATAGATAAACATCTCACACAAAGCATATTCATTCCCATCCTATGCTATCAGTGCCTGCCATGGTCACTCACAACAAGCTAGAATTGAAAATAGGTAGCCATGGAAATGAGTTGCCTGAGAAGAGTTGCAGGAGTGACCAAAATAGAACAAATCAGGAATTAGGTCATAAGAGAACAAGTCGGCATGGAACCAATACTAAAATTACATACAAAGACATGTTTTTTTTTTTGGGGGGGGGGGGGGGGGGGGGGGGGTGGGTGGGGGGGGGGGGGTGGGGGGAGTCTAGAAAATATGAGCTGTAAACCCTTTGGCTTGGTACTATGGAAATCCCAACCTTTGGCTTTGATTCCACGAAAGATACCGTAATTTGGGAAATACGGTGCTTGTCTGCCTACCCGAACGTGAACTCGGAGAGTTTAACCCGGTCGCCGCGCGGCTGTTCAAACAACTTAGCTGGCGGGCCAGGCATTCAAAGACATCCTATCAAATTGTTTGCACATTAAGGAAGAACGCCTAGTGACGCAATACCATACAAGGCTTACAGAAACAAGAGACGGCAGAAGATCCCGAGGTATATCAAGAACAATATGCAAAGATAACAACAGATAAATTCTATAGCAGCCTAATGTGACAATAAAGAACCTTATCGCTCTCTCTACACGGTAAAAGATATAGCGAAGAAGAAGAAGAAGAAGAAGAAGAAGAAGAAGAAGAAGAAGAAGAAGAAGAAGAAGAAGAAGAAGAAGAAGAAGAAGAAGAAGAAGAAGAAGAAGAAGGAGAAGAAGAAGAAGGAGAAGAAGAAAAAGGAGAAGAAGAAGAAGAAGAAGAAGAGGAAGGAGCAGGAGTAGGTGTTTGAGATGCAGTTTTTGCCTGTCCTATTTTGTTTCTTATCTCAGTTATGCATCTTGCATCTGATGTTATCCATGTGCCCAGATAATTAAATTTCTGTACTTGTCCCAAAATAACACCATTGACTTTTATTACACATTTAGGAATAATTATTTTCTTTGATACCAACATTACTTCTGTCTTTCCATTATTCAAACTAAAGCCCATTCTTCCACTTTCTACCACCACACTGTCTATCATTTCCTGTAGTCCTTTTTAACTCGTTGCTATCAAGACTATCATCAGCATAACGTAAACTGTTTATATTGAGCCAACAATTCCGGGCATATCAATTAAAGATCTCATTATATATTCACTGTATAAAAAAAATAAATCAGGTGACAGTGCACATCCTTGTCTTTATGCACTGAAATTTACCTAAACAGTTGGTAATTCTTATAGCTGCTGTTAGCTGCCAAGACATATTCTTTATTTATTTGTGGATCTTTTGCATCAATGTTTATTTTTTCTAATAGTTTGGTTACTTCTTTATGCTTTACACAGTCAAATGCTTTTGTATAGTCTAAGAAGCATAAGTACACATCAGTCTTTACTTCCGTAGCTCCTTCTACGATGTCCTTAGGATGTATAGATATGGCGCAAACACTCGAATTTAGTCACGAAAGTGACGCAAATAACTCAGACCACAAATATAGGCCGAGACTGTTAGCAGCCTCGGCTAGCTAGCAGCAGTATGAAAGTGGTCGACCTTTTAATTTTTTCTCTCAAAAGGACTAGGACTAAGCTAGGGCAGAGCTATAAAAATGGATTTTTAAGGTCATTTGTACCCACTATTGTAAATATCATTCAAAACCAAAGTTATTTTTTGAATTCCAAAATCTCCCAGTGCTTCGATTTCTTCCAGTGAGACGTTGTCTGGCCCGGCTGCTTTTCCTTTCTCCATCTAATGTAAGACATCCTTAACCTCTGCCGCCACTATTGGTGGACCATCATTGTTGGCCTGCAACTCTACATCTGGTCTATTATCATCATACAATTCCCCTACATAATATGTCCATCTGTTCATTCTATCACTATATATAACTGATCTACAAACAAGAATCCTTACTTTCTGTTGTCCAGTAAAGAAGTGCACCAGCTTCTAGTCCGGCCTCAGAAAGAGTAGCTTTTCTGTCGAGTGCACTGTGGGCTGTACTCTGCAAAACATATTCTGACTTCAAAGAGGCTCTGTTATCTCGGCACAGCCGCCTCAGGAGGTTTTCTATTGTAGTCTCTGGTGACAGGCTCACACAGAAACGTCCCTGAGGTTCGTTGGGAGGAAGGAGGCTTTGAACATTGACTTCAATCTCTGACATCCTGGCAACACAGAAACAACAGCTTATGTGGCTAGTCTCATATACGATATATTAAAGGCCCTGGTGGTTTCAATAACATCTCGGGAAAAACGATAATAAAGGGCTCTGACAGGTGGCTGCTCATAAAACACACCAACGTGAAGAACCTTACTCGTTGATATTGACTGTCACGTGACTGGCACCTGGTGTATGAGGCCAAGGGGTGGGTTGGGTACAGGCATGCTAGCAACTGAGGTGAGTCACTTGTAGATGTGGACCGGGAAACTATGATTAATGCAGACAAAGATGCCACTGTTACATGGTCTAGAGACAGCCAGGGAACTATGATTAATGCAGACAAAGATGCCACTGTTACATGGTCTAGAGACAGCCAGGGAACTATGATTAATGCAGACAAAGATGCCACTGTTACATGTCTAGAGACAGCCAGGGAACTATGATTAATGCAGACAAAGATGCCACTGTTACATGGTCTAGAGAGAGGGAGCCAGGGAACTATGATTAATGCAGACAAAGATGCCACTGTTACATGGTCTAGAGACAGCCAGGGAACTATGATTAATGCAGACAACATGCCAAATGGTCTAGAGACCCAGGGAACTATGATTAATGCAGACAAAGATGCCACTGTTACATGGTCTAGAGACAGCCAGGGAACTATGATTAATGCAGACAAAGATGCCACTGTTACATGGTCTAGAGACAGCCAGGGAACTATGATTAATGCAGACAAAGATGCCACTGTTACATGGTCTAGAGACAGCCAGGGAACTATGACAGACAAGAGATGCCACTGTTACATGGTCTAGAGACAGCCAGGGAACTATGATTAATGCAGACAAAGATGCCACTGTTACATGGTCTAGAGACAGCCAGGGAACTATGATTAATGCAGACAAAGATGCCACTGTTACATGGTCTAGAGACAGCCAGGGAACTATGATTAATGCAGACAAAGATGCCACTGTTACATGGTCTAGAGACAGCCAGGGAACTATGATTAATGCAGACAAAAGATGCCACTGTTACATGGTCTAGAGACAGCCAGGGAACTATGATTAATGCAGACAAAGATGCCACTGTTACATGGTCTAGAGACAGCCAGGGAACTATGATTAATGCAGACAAAGATGCCACTGTTACATGGTCTAGAGATAGCCAGGGAACTATGATTAATGCAGACAAAGATGCCACTGTTACATGGTCTAGAGACAGCCAGGGAACTATGATTAATGCAGACAAAGATGCCACTGTTACATGGTCTAGAGACAGCCAGGGAACTATGATTAATGCAGACAAAGATGCCACTGTTACATGGTCTAGAGACAGCCAGGGAACTATGATTAATGCAGACAAAGATGCCACTGTTACATGGTCTAGAGACAGCCAGGGAACTATGATTAATGCAAACAAGGATGCCACTGTTACATGCTAGAGACACCAGGGAACTATGATTAATGCAGACAAAGATGCCACTGTTACTGGTCTAGAGACAGCCAGGGAACTATGATTAATGCACTGTTACAAGAGATGCCACTGTTAATGCATGGTCTATGATCGACAGCCAGGGAACTATGATTAATGCAAACAAGGATGTCACTGTTACATGGTCTAGAGACAGCCAGGGAACTATGATTAATGAACACAAAGATGCCACTGTTACATGGTCTAGAGACAGCCAGGGAGCTATGATTAATGCACACAAAGATGCCACTGTTACATGGTCTAGAGACAGCCAGGGAACTATGATTAATGCAAACAATGATGTCACTGTTACATGGTCTAGAGACAGCCAGGGAACTATGATTAATGCAGACAAAGTTGCCACTGTTACATGGTCTAGAGATAGCCAGGGAACTATGATTAATGCAAACAAAGATGCCACTGTTACATGGTCTATCGACAGCCAGGGAACTATGATTAATGCAAACAAGGATGTCACTGTTACATGGTCTAGAGACAGCCAGGGAACTATGATTAATGAACACAAAGATGCCACTGTTACATGGTCTAGAGACAGCCAGGGAACTATGATTAATGCACACAAAGATGCCACTGTTACATGGTCTAGAGACAGCCAGGGAACTATGATTAATGCACACAAAGATGCCACTGTTACATGGTCTAGAGACAGCCAGGGAACTACGATTAATTGCAGACAACGATGCCACTGTTACATGGTCTAGAGACAGCCAGGGAACTATGAATAATGCAGACAAAGATGCCACTGTTACATGGTCTAGAGACAGCCAGGGAACTTTGATTAATGCACACAAAGATGCCACTGTTACATGGTCTAGAGACAGCCAGGGAACTATGATTAATGTACACAAAGATGCCACTGTTACATGGTCTAGAGACAACCAGGGAACTATGATTAATTGCAGACAACAATGCCACTGTTACATGGTCTTGAGACAGCCAGGGAACTATGAATAATGCAGACAAAGATGCCACTGTTACATGGTCTAGAGACAGCCAGGGAACTATGATTAATGCAGACAAAGATGCCACTGTTACATGGTCTAGAGACAGCCAGGGAACTATGATTAATGCAGACAAAGATGCCACTGTTAAATGGTCTAGCGACAGCCAGGGAACTTTGATTAATGCAGACAAAGATGCCACTGTTACATGGTCTAGAGACAGCCAGGGAACTATGATTAATGCAAACGAGGATGCCACTGTTACATTGTCTAGAGACAGCCAGGGAACTATGATTAATTGCAGACAAAGATGCCACTGTTACATGGTCTAGAGACAGCCAGGGAACTATGATTAATGCAAACGAGGATGCCACTGTTACATGGTCTAGAGACAGCCAGGGAACTATGATTAATTGCAGACAAAGATGCCACTGTTACATGGTCTAGAGACAGCCAGGGAACTATGATTAATGCAAACAATGATGTCACTGTTACATGGTCTAGAGACAGCCAGGGAACTATGATTAATGCAGACAAAGTTGCCACTGTTACATGGTCTAGAGATAGCCAGGGAACTATGATTAATGCAAACAAAGATGCCACTGTTACATGGTCTATCGACAGCCAGGGAACTATGATTAATGCAAACAAGGATGTCACTGTTACATGGTCTAGAGACAGCCAGGGAACTATGATTAATGAACACAAAGATGCCACTGTTACATGGTCTAGAGACAGCCAGGGAACTATGATTAATGCACACAAACATGCCACTGTTACATGGTCTAGAGACAGCCAGGGAACTACGATTAATTGCAGACAACGATGCCACTGTTACATGGTCTAGAGACAGCCAGGGAACTATGAATAATGCAGACAAAGATGCCACTGTTACATGGTCTAGAGACAGCCAGGGAACTTTGATTAATGCACACAAAGATGCCACTGTTACATGGTCTAGAGACAGCCAGGGAACTATGATTAATGTACACAAAGATGCCACTGTTACATGGTCTAGAGACAACCAGGGAACTATGATTAATTGCAGACAACAATGCCACTGTTACATGGTCTTGAGACAGCCAGGGAACTATGAATAATGCAGACAAAGATGCCACTGTTACATGGTCTAGAGACAGCCAGGGAACTATGATTAATGCAGACAAAGATGCCACTGTTACATGGTCTAGAGACAGCCAGGGAACTATGATTAATGCAGACAAAGATGCCACTGTTACATGGTCTAGCGACAGCCAGGGAACTATGATTAATGCAGACAAAGATGCCACTGTTACATGGTCTAGAGACAGCCAGGGAACTATGATTAATGCAAACGAGGATGCCACTGTTACATTGTCTAGAGACAGCCAGGGAACTATGATTAATTGCAGACAAAGATGCCACTGTTACATGGTCTAGAGACAGCCAGGGAACTATGATTAATGCAAACGAGGATGCCACTGTTACATGGTCTAGAGACAGCCAGGGAACTATGATTAATTGCAGACAAAGATGCCACTGTTACATGGTCTAGAGACAGCCAGGGAACTATGATTAATGCAAACGAGGATGCCACTTTTACATGGTCTAGAGACAGCCAGGGAACTATGATTAATTGTAGACAAAGATGCCACTGTTACATCGTCTAGAGATAGCCAGGGAACTATGATTAATGCACACAAAGATGCCACTGTTACATGGTCTAAAGACAGCCAGGGAACTATGATTAATTGCAGACAACAACGTCAATATCACGTGGTCTGGAGACCTTTAGGGGAATAAGACTAATGCAACTAATGTCTTCTCTTAGAAGAATGAATGAATGAATGAATGAATGAATGAATGAATGAATGAATGAATGAATGAATGAATGAATGAATGAATGAATGAATGAATGAATGAATGAATGAATGAATGAATGAATGAATGAATGAAACAAGAAAGGACATCACTGCACTCGGGACACTCCCACACTTGCCCCGTCCCCTTCCTCGACAATCAACGAAGATTTGACATGATAATAGAACTACCAGTTGTAGCCTGGTCAAAAGTTCGCTTATTTTCCCCTTCAACGTTGTATATCTTTCAGAGCCTGTACACCGCCTCGTTGAACAAGTCTTCTAGTGTATAAAATTCTTTTGTGCTGTCCATTTGATTCCACAAAACCTTTACCATATCCGTTTTATCATATAGTAGCGCATCGCCTAGAGGATCGGCATCAGCTGATCTATCTGCCTGCTCGTTGTGACCTCGCACACTTGAATATCCTGGACAACCAGCGAAGAGGCATGGGCAATGTCTGCTGGTAAAGACTGGTATCAAACAGGTGGTTCTTGGCCTGGGCAAGTGGAATCATATTACACAAGAGTTTCCGGATAGTTAGTGGGGGAACAACCTGGAATTTAGTAATCGTTTACGCTGCTGTTGAATCTCTTGTCACAAAGGAACATTGGGACTGGACCAAAGAGTTGGAGGAAATCCCTGGTAATAGGCTTCTATTTTGTCGGAATTTCAATGCGTGGAAAAGATCATGGGACAGTACTGGGGAAAGAAGATAACAAATTGCTTTAGCAAGGGCTATACGCACTCATGGAGAAGAGGGTTTTGTCCCTGGCTTTTGAACTGGATAGCAGCTGTCCTGCATTCAGGTATGGTTGCCCTTCGCCTGGGTACATGAACCTCGGAGCCATGTGATATAGCCCTGGCACTATCCCAGGGTTCTGCAGTTTTACCGGTGTTCTTTAATGTGTATACAAGCAAAATTGCAGAACTTGAAGTACCAGGTGTTGGAAGGATATTGACATTTGCTGATGATGTTTTTGTGTATAGGCAAGAGAGTGCTGGACAACCAATAGCCCAAGAGCTACAAGCAACTGTAGACAGTCACTGACTAGTGTGCAGAAATGGGTGCTGTCATCAACCACTGTTTTGTGGTGTTCTCTGGACAATTGAATTGTAAGAGCTGATGTTCCAAGCCTCGTATTTAATAACAGTAACAATAAAAGAGAAAGCACACTGAGCTACCTGGGTATCACTTTTGAAGCCTGTCCTTTGGGAATCACGTGGAAGCAGTTGTGGGGGAATGTCAAAACGGAATCAGTGCTCTCAAGATGAAGGTAGCAACAAACATTGAACAAAGAATGCTGTTCACAATGTTCCAGCTTAGTGCAGCAAAGCCTTGCATTTGATATCACTATGTCTAGTTTGAGAGTGGAGGTGGAGGCGGTCTCTGCTGCATTCCTCTGGCTTGAGAATCAACTGTACACACATGCTGTAATTGTAACTGAGCCTACTGAGAAAGGTGAAGACAGGTATGCTCCGTGCAGAGTGGCAAGCATCACTTCAGATATTCCGGGTAGTTAGCATCCTTTGGATAATTTCTCCAGGTTATGCCAGTGTGTTGGGAAATGAGCAGGCAGATAGACTTGCCGGCTATGCACCACTTGGTTGTGAACTGATGTATGACAAGCTAGATTTTGTGAAAGCCCTTTGGCAAAGAGTGAACAGTGCGGAGGCACAAATAGATCATTACGGTCTGAGGAGAATGATGTTTCGAGTAGTTACCACGTGATCTGGCCGACGCTCAGCACTCAGGGGAAGGATGAGACGGATATACAATCAGACGGTTACTAGTGCTACCGGAATGGGAACTCTTCTCTTGCTGCTGAAGATGGGGATGGAGCGTTTAGGGAATGTCCAAAGTGCTGTGATGTCGATTCTTAATTTAACATTCGACAATATGCCAGACATAAAATTCATGACGTGCACTTGACCTGGGTCTTATAAAGTGATGCAAGTCACTCTGTTCGGAGGTCACATTTCGGTTTTCCGGCGCATGCTCTATGACGGGCTGCGCTGCTCTCAAGCTATCGGAAAGCTGCTGTTACTGCCTCCACCTCCATTCTCATACTAGATGTCATGATTTTGTACCCAACAGAGGGTGTGTATGAATGTAACTTTGTATCTGAATGTTCGGACACAATTACCAGATGAAGGTGCTGATGCACGTAACTCATAATCACCACTCATACCATTCGTCATACGCGGTGTGGTCTCATGATATGGCGTCCGCCTCAAGTGCTGGAGGTCCGGGGTTCAGGCCCTAGTGAAGGCTGGGCATTTTTCACCTAGACTTCTTTCAGTTTCCCTGGTCTCTAGGTAGTAAGATCGGAGGCCTGTGTGTATTGTTGCGAATGTAAAAAAATCCTTTGGCATTGAAAATCGAAAAGAGTAGCCTGACGGCGCTCCTGCATAACTTGAAGTTTAAAAAATCAACCTAAAGTATTTCGGAGTTCGTGCACTGAGCTAAGGAGCTTCTGACTCAAGCTTGAGTCAGAAATAGCGTTTCTTCGTTCGCTGGTGTTGAACTGGTGATGCGGTCTGTTTGTGGCTTCTTCTGGCTGGTTTTGCCACAGGCCTTAATTGTTGTGGCTGTGACTGGTAAAGCGGTACTGATCAGGCTGCTATCGAAAGCTACATCTTTGAAGAGTCGGCAAGACTTGTTGAGTATCCTGAAAAGGACACCAATTGTGCTTTCTCAACAGTGAACTAGACAGTCGTTCTGCAAAATTGTGCCTACAGCGGTCTGCCAAAACCCCACCCGCAACGCCGAATGTACGATAACTAGTCGAGACTGACTCAGCCGAATATCAAGCGAATCAGTGTCAAGTATCTAGTTATCGAGAATCGGGCCTCAAATGAGTAGTTAGCGATCGAGTGGAAGACAGAGGTGCTGACGACTGGGCTCTGTAGTATGTTTAAAATGTATGTATCTGATTTTGTACAGCAATGAACACAAACACGGACAAAAAGCAACATTTGTCAATACGCATACAGAATTGACCAATAAAAGCGTTTCAAAAACGAAACAAAATTAATATTATTCTTCGGTTTTGAAAATTAATCTGAAGACCATTACTTCTAAATAAAAAAAAAGTTACAATGAGTTTAAAAGTAACTGAATGGTTTATGTGCAGCAAATTTTAACAAATAGTATATGTTAGGCAATAATGCATTATGTGTAAATGGTTTTGTAAATTAGTAGATTTTATAATAATAGACAATTTAGTTTAGCAGTGACAATGAAATTATTTTCATGTTTTTTTTTTTAAATTTTTTATTTGCTCTTTTATATTATATATAGGATTATATTCTAAGATAAATACATAATTGATAGTGGAAATTAAAATTAAAATTGTATTTTTATAAGGGCACTCACTGGGTTGACACAATGGTCAGTGGCGCGACTGGCCAAGTATGTGCTGTTTGCACGGTGAAACTATTGCTCAGTAGAGACTACTTGAAGACAACAAGTAAGAGGGAACTCTGTTACAAACAAGTTCGCAACATGATTGCCCCATGAGGGACTGAGCAGGTGAACGGGTCAAAAGACACGAAGTGAGAGAACATAGGGGATTTGGTGTGCAATGTTTGGACCGAGTAGACGTATTAGCGAGGCAGTGATAGAACATTACAGTTATGATATTTCTTTAGTGACTGCATAGATTATTTATAGTGTTCTGTTTGAATAGGATAGTCTTTTGTGCTGTGTATTCAACCGGTACAATGTATTGTGTTGTTTCACTATAAGTAGGTAGTGTCCAGTTACTTCTGACATGTTAAATCGGTTAGGTACATGTTCTGTGAGAGAATGTCTAACCATGTCACGCTGACCCTGCACTAGACAGAGGCGGTGACATCTTGGTTGGTCAGTGTGTCGATAGGAAAGAGCGTATCCCGCCTAGGTGTGGGCTGTGCAACAGAGATTAGCTGTGGAACGGACTGGAGAGCGAAGCGACTGTAAAGCTCGTTCGGCCAGAGGGTCTAGGCAATATGTTACTTTTCTTTATTTAAAAAAACTTCGGCAGCCCTGGGAGCAGGCAGGAAAAAAACGAAACGAAATTGGGCGGAAGTTTCTAGAAACTGCGACATGGCCGACGGCCGTTAACAGCTGATGACATCTCTGTTGTTGTTGTTTGAACTTTGGTTTCTCTATCACTATCAGCTACAGAGTTCAACCACACCAGTATCACAGAGAAGTACCGGTGAATTTGTTCTACACTTAAAGAGTTGAGTGAAAACACTTAAACAGCTTGTGAGAAACTGCGTCTGTCTTGTCCTTGCAGACATGGACTCCCGCGAGTTTTTCCGTCGCTTCCTTGGGTTTCCTCGCAACCCGTCTAGACCTCACTTCGATGAGGACTTCGCCCCAGAAGAAAGGGCCAGCCGTGATGATGATGGGTAAGTTCTGTCTAGATACAGTTATTCATTAGGGATGTTACCGAAATTAATAATTGTAGTTTCAAAGTTTGGACGGCTCTCCTTTAAATAACGGTCGCTAGCTGGAAAGCCGACGGTCGATAAGTCGGGGTGCGGTCCCTTTTCTGCATTGCAAATACAGAACGTACAGAGGGAACAAAACAAATGACATGCTTACCTGTCATCATATGATTGCGTAGGGTGTAGGGTAGGGTGTGGGTTACCTGTCATCATACGGTTGCATAGGGTGTAGGTTAGGGGTAGGGTTAGGGTTAGATGTGACAAATATGACGCAGGAGTTCCAAATGCTGGCCGACAATCTGATGCTTGTGGGAGTGGCGCCCCTAAAAGTCTCCTAAATATGACGGAAATAGCGCGCAGCTGGTGCCCAATTGATGGCGAATTGTCCGTTTGAGTAGCATCCACAGTCCTTCCATTGTTTGGGTGTGTTTGTCACTCTGCGCGATTATTTGGAACTCCTGCGTCAAAATTTTCACATCTAACCCTACCCCTAACCCTAACCCTACCCCTAAGCACGCAAACTTATCGGTCATTAAGGCATACAGATCTGCAGGAGTCACATCCATGGCAACTAACTCATGCGTCGCAAGAATGTGGTTGCTAATGTGAGTCGGGGCTCGATGTCTAACTGCCATGTTGACCTTGTTTCAATTTATGACTTTTCCACTTCGTATTTGCAATGCAGCCAAGGGAGCGCACTCCGACTAAGTGACCGTCGGCTTTCCAGCTAGCGACCGTTATTTTAAGGAGAGCCGTTTGGACAACTAACAAGAATGCCCTGGTACTATCTGCCACAGCGAGCCACACTAAAACGTTACAACCAGTATAGAGTGAGTGGAAGACCTCGGAAAATATGGAGTGATGGAATTAAGAACAGCCTTACAGAAATGAACATCAGTCTTAATAGTACTCTTGACAGAGCTCTTCAACAAACATTACACCCCCCCCCCCTTCCCGACACTTCGATGAGGTACAAGGTGTTGACTCTAAACATATCTGATATGTGTACTTCCTCATCCCTGTCTCACATCTGTATTGACTGTGAACATATCTGATATGTGTACTTCCTCATCCCTGTCTCACATCTGTATTGACTGTGAACATATCTGATATGTGTACTTCCTCATGCCTGTCTCACATCTATGTTGACTGTGAACATATCTGATATGTGTACTTTTTCATGCCTGTCTCACATCTGTGTTGACTGTGAACATATCTGATATGTGTACTTTCTCATGCCTGTCTCACATCTGTGTTGACTGTGAACATATCTGATATGTGTACTTCCTCATGCCTGTCTCACATCTGTGTTGACTGTGAACATATCTGATATGTGTACTTCCTCATGCCTGTCTCACATCTGTATTGACTGTGAACATATCTGATATGTGTACTTCCTCATGCCTGTCTCACATCTGTGTTGACTGTGAACATATCTGATATGTATACTTCCTCATCCCTGTCTCACATCTGTATTGACTGTGAACATATCTGTGTACTTTCTCATCTCTGTCTCACATCTGTATTGACTGTGAACATATCTGTGTACTTTCTCATCTCTGTCTCACATCTGTATTGACTGTGAACATATCTGATATGTGTACTTTCTCATGCCTGTCTCACATCTGTGTTGACTCTAAACATATCTGATATGTGTACTTTTTCATGCCTGTCTCACATCTGTGTTGACTGTGAACATATCTGATATGTGTACTTCCTCATGCCTGTCTCACATCTGTGTTGACTGTGAACATATCTGATATGTGTACTTCCTCATGCCTGTCTCACATCTGTGTTGACTGTGAACATATCTGATATGTGTACTTCCTTATGCCTGTCTCACACCAGTGTTGACTGTGAACATATCTGATATGTGTACTTCCTCATCCCTGTCTCACATCTGTGTTGACTGTGAACATATCTGATATGTGTACTTCCTCATCCCTGTCTCACATCTGTGTTGACTGTGAACATATCTGATATGTGTACTTCCTTATGCCTGTCTGACATCTGTGTTTACTGTGAACATATCTGATATGTATACTTCCTTATGCCTGTCTCACATCTGTGTTGACTGTGAACATATCTGATATGCATTATAGGTGTTCTTACTGCACTCTGGCTTGTGTCGTACATGGCTATGATATTCTCTAGTAACTGTCCTTGTACCCCATAGTTCTCAAGAACAGACCACAGTTTGTTTCTATTCACTCTGTCAAAAGCCTTCTCCTGATCTACAACTACAATATTCTGTTGGGTATTAAAAGGTAAAGTCGGGAGATGTGAACCAGCATCATTGCACATGGTTATAAACCATAAATGTTCTGCCACTAGTATGGACAGCTGATAAGAAATTGTCCACCTGTGTCGCCGTTCGCACGAAACTCTGTAACTATTGCGACATTCCTCCATTTACCCCAGAGTGTTGACTCTGGTACCCATTTCCTAGAGGCTAGGTGAACCCCGGGAACCACCACGTTTCTGTTGGGTATTATACTCAGTAGCTTTCTCGCACATTTACCTCAAAGTAAATAATGCATCTGGGCATCCTCTGCCTTTTCTGAAACCGAATTGTAATGTACTCAACTGTTGTTTGGCTTTGAGTCTAACTCTGTTCTAGTAGTTTGGCATACATTTTCCCTACGTGACTCATCAGTGTTATACCTCTGTTTGCTTCACATTCTCTACTTTATTTTTCCATAACGATACTCTTAGTGCATGTTGCCACTCAGCTGGAACTTTTTTTATTTCGAAGCTAAATTAAAAATTCTCTTGTTATGGTTTTATAAAGTAAAAAGCCTATATAGTGATTTTAGTCAAATTTTATGTATTGAGATATAACTTATACCATAACAGCTGGATAGAGGCTGAAAAGCAGTCCAATGTTACCTCTCTGGAGTCTGTATGTTACTTACAAGCGTCGATATTTCAGTGACAGAAAATGTTCTCAAAAATTATAATGGAAAATAACAGAAGCAAGATGGTGGCATGTTCCCAAGTGAAAAGTGGACCTTAAGTGACAACATTTTTATACCTAATGCCTATAATTCTTATTTTTTTCTTTCTGAACCCCTAAGCAGCCCATATATCATTACATTCAGGGCTAACTAAAGATGTGGCCTTTTCACAAATATGATGTGATGCAAGCCTGATTAACATATACAAATGCGTCAGTTAATCAGTATTCATTAAATAGCTCATGAATGAATGATTATCTCCCAGTGAGCCTTGCAAGATGTATGCTGCATACTTTTGTCATGATTCTTTGTGTTATGATGTTTGTCTTTTTTGTTTGTTGAAAAATGCTTTTTCTCGCACTGTCACTTGTGTTTGTGTGTGTGTACATGTGACCGAAATTTGCTTTATTCACATGTTAAATATTCAAAAGCGATTTTAATGGATTTCATTGCATCGCAGCTAGTTTCGAAAGGCTCAGACTTTCTTCACACAACGGCTAGCCACATGCTGATAGCCTAGCACAAAGAATGAATACTGTAGCTCCAGCAACAACCCCCAGAGGTCTCCATTTAAAAATGAATTTTTTAGCCAAGGAGCACAGTTATAAAATGAACCCACAGCAAACTTCTGAGTGTGAGGATAACGGCTTTACCACTTTGCTACAAAATCCCCATATTGTTTAACAACCAACTGCCAAAGTGCACCCATCTGCGTTAGCGCAGTCGATAGAAGGGTGCTTTCAGCATTTCTCATATTTTACCAGAAAATTGTTGCTTTTCTGTTACCTCCTCCTCTGACAACCTTTCCTCCAAAACGCAGCTCTTGGCTGTGCTCTTCCACAAGCTCTTTGATATCACTGTTATCTACCTACAACCCTATGATAGTGGCCAAAGACCCAATCTCGTTGACTACAGGTTTCACTGTCTCGAACTCCTCAAAGTCACAAAATAAACAACACTCTCCGGCCAAAGCTTCTTCCAAGCAGAAGTTAAGATTCTCTTGGTAACCCCTTCTTCTGCCTTGTCGATCATTCTTGAGGCAGTCAACGATGTGGACGTGATTTTTGTCTAAAACTCTTTGAGAGTGAGGTTGGTCCCTTCAGTCACATGAAAACAATGCTCGAAGAGTGCTTTAGTGTAGAGTTTCTTAAAGTTAGAAATAACTTGCTTGTCCATGAGCTGGAGTAACGGAGTGGTGGTGTTGGAAGGCAGAAATTGGATCTTGATGAACTGAAATTCTTCAGAGAGGTCATCTTGTAGGCCTGGAGGATTCATGTACATATATCTCAATATAACACAAGTTTGAGAAAATGTGTGATCACAAGCGACACTACGATGTTACTGGAACGAGTGCTAAACACAGACTGATGTAACATGCGCACAGTTCGGGACTTCCTCTCTCCTCGCCACTCGTTATGCGAAACGTCGCTCGTTAAGCGAGTTATTTTTTTACAATTTGTTTTGCTCGTTATGTGAATTACTCGTTATGCGAGGTGCTCGTTAAGCGAGGTTCTACTGTATCTTACATTGCAGCTTTCAGTTTCTGTTTAAATGCACAAGATGTGTGTCTGTGAGAAAAGAAATTCATATCCATATATGATATTCATTGATTCATGCCTTCACTCTGCCTTGATGTATATTCCTGTCCAGTTCTGCCGTCTCTGCTATGCCCTTGGTTATAATGCAAATATCTTTTTCTGCATCCCTGTATTAGCTCTGCTACAGACATCCCTGTATTAGTTCTGCTACAGACGTCCCTGTATTAGCTCTGCTACAGTCATCCCTGTATTAGCTCTGCTACAGTCGTCCCTGTATTAGCTCTGCTACAGTCATTCCTGTATTAGCTCTGCTACAGTCGTCCCTGTATTAGCTCTTCTACAGATGTCCCTGTATTAGCTCTGCTACAGACATCCCTGTAGTAGCTCTGCTACAGTCTTCCCTGTATTAGCTCTGCTACAGTCGTCCCTGTATTAGCTCTGCTACAGACATCACTGTATTAGCTCTGCTACAGTCGTCCCTGTATTAGCTCTGCTACAGTCGTCCCTGTATTAGCTCTGCTACAGACATCACTGTATTAGCTCTGCTACAGTCGTCTCTGTATTAGCTCTGCTACAGACATCACTGTATTAGCTCTGCTACAGTCGTCCCTGTATTAGCTCTGCTACAGACATCACTGTATTAGCTCTGCTACAGTCGTCCCTGTATTAGCTCTGCTACAGACGTCCCTGTATTAGCTCTTCTACAGATGTCCCTGTATTAGCTATGCTACAGATATCCCTGTATTAGCTCTTCTACAGTCGTCGCTGTATTAGATCTGCTACAGTCATCCCTGTATTAGATCTGCTACAGTCATCCCTGTATTAGATCTGCTACAGTCATCCCTGTATTAGATCTGCTACAGTCATCCCTGTATTAGATCTGCTACAGTCATCCCTGTATTAGCTCTGCTACAGTCGTCTCTGTATTAGCTCTGCTACAGTCGTCACTGTATTAGCTCTGCTACAGTCGTCCCTGTATTAGATCTGCTACAGATGTCCCTTATTAGCTATGCTACAGACATCCCTGTATTAGCTCTGCTACAGACATCCCTGTATTAGCTCTGCTACAGACATCCCTGTATTAGCTCTGCTACAGACATCCCTGTATTAGCTCTGCTACAGTCGTCCCTGTATTAGCCCTGCTACAGTCGTCCCTGTATTAGCTCTGCTACAGACATCCCTGTATTAGCTCTGCTACAGTCGTCCCTGTATTAGCTCTGCTACAGTCGTCCCTGTATTAGCTCTGCTACAGTCGTCCCTGTATTAGCTCTTCTACAGATGTCCCTGTATTAGCTCTGCTACAGACATCCCTGTAGTAGCTCTGCTACAGTCTTCCCTGTATTAGCTCTGCTACAGTCGTCCCTGTATTAGCTCTGCTACAGACATCCCTGTATTAGCTCTGCTACAGTCGTCCCTGTATTAGCTCTGCTACAGTCGTCCCTGTATTAGCTCTTCTACAGATGTCCCTGTATTAGCTCTGCTACAGACATCCCTGTAGTAGCTCTGCTACAGTCTTCCCTGTATTAGCTCTGCTACAGACATCACTGTATTAGCTCTGCTACAGTCGTCCCTGTATTAGCTCTGCTACAGTCGTCCCTGTATTAGCTCTGCTACAGACATCACTGTATTAGCTCTGCTACAGTCGTCTCTGTATTAGCTCTGCTACAGACATCACTGTATTAGCTCTGCTACAGTCGTCCCTGTATTAGCTCTGCTACAGACATCACTGTATTAGCTCTGCTACAGTCGTCCCTGTATTAGCTCTGCTACAGACGTCCCTGTATTAGCTCTTCTACAGATGTCCCTGTATTAGCTATGCTACAGATATCCCTGTATTAGCTCTTCTACAGTCGTCGCTGTATTAGATCTGCTACAGTCATCCCTGTATTAGATCTGCTACAGTCATCCCTGTATTAGATCTGCTACAGTCATCCCTGTATTAGATCTGCTACAGTCATCCCTGTATTAGATCTGCTACAGTCATCCCTGTATTAGCTCTGCTACAGTCGTCTCTGTATTAGCTCTGCTACAGTCGTCACTGTATTAGCTCTGCTACAGTCGTCCCTGTATTAGATCTGCTACAGATGTCCCTTATTAGCTATGCTACAGATATCCCTGTATTAGCTCTGCTACAGACATCCCTGTATTAGCTCTGCTACAGACATTCCTGTATTAGCTCTGCTACAGACATCCCTGTATTAGCTCTGCTACAGACATCCCTGTATTAGCTCTGCTACAGACATCCCTGTATTAGCTCTGCTACAGACATCCCTGTATTAGCTCTGCTACAGACATCCCTATATTAGCTCTGCTACAGACATCCCTATATTAGCTCTGCTACAGACATCCCTGTATTAGCTCTGCTACAGACATCCCTATATTAGCTCTGCTACAGACATCCCTATATTAGCTCTGCTACAGACATCCCTATATTAGCTCTGCTACAGACATCCCTGTATTAGCTCTGCTACAGACATCCCTATATTAGCTCTGCTACAGACATCCCTATATTAGCTCTGCTACAGACATCCCTATATTACCTCTGCTACAGACATCCCTATATTAGCTCTGCTACAGACATCCCTATATTAGCTCTGCTACAGACATCCCTGTATTAGCTCTGCTACAGACATCCCTATATTAGCTCTGCTACAGACATCCCTATATTAGCTCTGCTACAGACATCCCTATATTAGCTCTGCTACAGACATCCCTGTATTAGCTCTGCTACAGACATCCCTATATTAGCTCTGCTACAGACATCCCTGTATTAGCTCTGCTACAGACATCCCTATATTAGCTCTGCTACAGACATCTCTGTATTACCTCTGTTACAGACATCTCTGTATTACCTCTGCTACAGACATCCCTATATTAGCTCTGCTACAGACATCTCTGTATTACCTCTGTTACAGACATCTCTGTATTACCTCTGTTACAGACATCCCTATATTAGCTCTGCTACAGACATCTCTGTATTACCTCTGTTACAGACATCTCTGTATTACCTCTGTTACAGACATCCCTATATTAGCTCTGCTACAGACATCCCTATATTAGCTCTGCTACAGACATCCCTGTATTAGCTCTGTTAACAGACATCCCTATATTAGCTTTACCACAGACATCCCTGTATTGGCTCTCCTGTAACCACTGAAGTAACTGGCTCATTCTCTCTGGCAGATTCGGGGCTTTTTTTGGAGACAGCAGTAGAGGACTGGAGGGCATGTTTGAGCACTTCCATGGGGACATGTGGAGGCAGATGGATGCCCTTCACCGACAGATGGAGGAGATGATGAGAGGCTTTGGTGCCATTGATTTCCACTCCTGTAAGTTTTTGGAACATTGATTTGTCCGTGTGCCATGGTATCCTCTGGTTCATGCTTGTGCCATGGTATCCTCTGGTTCATGCTTGTGCCATGGTTTCCTCTGGTTCGTGGTTATGCCATGGCTTTCCCTGGTTCGTGGTTGTGCCATTGTTGTCTCTGGTTCATGCTTGTGCCATGGTTTTCTCTGGTTCATGATAAGCTGTTATATTTAGCATTGATATCATTTTTTAGCTGTGTTTGCTGTTACTTATAGTGTTGATATTACCTTTCAGCTGTGTTTGCTGTAACATCTAGTGTTGATGTCACCTTTCAGCTGTCTTTGCTGTTACATCGTGTGTTGACATCACTTTTTAGCTGTGTTTGCTGTAACATCTAATATTAATTTCATCTTTGAGCTGTATAAGCTGTTACATTTTGTAATAATGTCACCTTTGAGCTGTGTAAGTTGTTACATCTAGTGTTGATGTCAACTTTCAGCTGTGTTTGCTGTTACATCGTGTGTTTACATCACTTTTCATCAGTTTTAGCTGCTACACCTAGTGTTGATGTTATCTTTCAGCTGTTTTAGCTGTTACATTTAGTGTTGATGTCACTTTTTAGAAGCTGTTTTTGTAGTTAAATTCAGTGTTGAAGTTACTTTTCAGCAGCCGTGTTTGCTGTTACATTTAGTGTTAATGTCACTTTTTAGCTGTGTTAGCTGTTACATTCAGAGTTTATGTCACCTTTGAGCTGTGTAAGCTGTTACATCTATTTTTGATGTTACTTTTCAACTGTGTTAGCTGTTACATCTATTTTTGATGTTACTTTTGAGCTGTATTAGCTGTTACATTTATTTTTGATGTCACTTTTCAACTGTGTTGGCTGTTACATCTATTTTTGATGTTACTTTTCAACTGTGTTAGCTGTTACATCTATTTTTGATGTTACTTTTCAACTGTGTTAGCTGTTACATCTATTTTTGATGTTACTTTTCAACTGTGTTAGCTGTTACATCTATTTTTGATGTTACTTTTCAACTGTGTTAGCTGTTACATCTATTTTTGATGTTACTTTTCAACTGTGTTAGCTGTTACATCTATTTTTGATGTTACTTTTCAACTGTGTTAGCTGTTACATCTATTTTTGATGTTACTTTTCAACTGTGTTAGCTGTTACATCTATTTTTGATGTTACTTTTCAACTGTGTTAGCTGTTACATCTATTTTTGATGTTACTTTTCAACTGTGTTAGCTGTTACATCTATTTTTGATGTTACTTTTCAACTGTGTTAGCTGTTACATCTATTTTTGATGTTACTTTTCAACTGTGTTAGCTGTTACATCTATTTTTGATGTTACTTTTCAACTGTGTTAGCTGTTACATCTATTTTTGATGTTACTTTTCAACTGTGTTAGCTGTTACATCTATTTTTGATGTTACTTTTCAACTGTGTTAGCTGTTACATCTATTTTTGATGTTACTTTTCAACTGTGTTAGCTGTTACATCTATTTTTGATGTTACTTTTCAACCGTGTTAGCTGTTACATCTATTTTTGATGTTACTTTTCAACTGTGTTAGCTGTTACCATTATTTTTGATGTTACTTTTCAACTTTGTTAGCTGTTACATCTATTTTTGATGTTACTTTTCAACTGTGTTAGCTGTTACATCTATTTTTGATGTTACTTTTCAACTGTGTTAGCTGTTACATCTATTTTTGATGTTACTTTTCAACTGTGTTAGCTGTTACATCTATTTTTGATGTTACTTTTCAACTGTGTTAGCTGTTACATCTAGTGTTGATATCACTTTTCAGCTGTAGACTTGCCACAGTTGCCAGCCCCACAGCCTATTGATCCTGGAAAGCAGGAAGGTACTCAAGTGTTCTCCTGGAACTTGGGGCCTACTCCTTTCTTTAGGCACCCTGAGAAGAAAAGTCCCAGGGATTTCATGTTGAAAGAGGGTGCTGATAGTGACCTGCCTAGCAGACCAGCTTTGCCTGCATCTCCTGGCACAGGTCACAAGACAAAGGTCAGTATTGGTAACACATTGATTAGTCCAGGCTTAGGTCAAAGGACAAAGCTGGGTATTGGTTGACAGTGATGATTGTGGACGCAGGTCATGTGTCAGATATTTGCAAATATGTTCTACTGATGTTGGATCTGAAGATCATGGTTTAAGATTTGCAGGGAGCCTGATATTTTCATACATGACCTTGGCTCTCATGTCGACCCAGCCTTCAATGGATACCAAGTAAAGTCCTGGGAAGTAAAGCTGGCCGGCGTGATGTGACCAGGACCAAGGGCCAATGGGTCTACACAAATAGGAGTCTGACTTTGTATACCAGATGTGCCACTGACACGTTGACTTTGTATACCAGATGTGCCACTGACATGTTGACTTTGTATACCAGATGTGCCACTGACACGTTGACATTGTATACCAGATGTGCCACTGACACGTTGACTTTGTATACCAGGTGTGCCACTGACACGTTGACTTTGTATACCAGATGTACCACTGACATCTTGACTTTGTATACCAGATGTGCCACTGACATGTTGACTTTGTTTACCAGATGTGCCACTGACACATTGACTTTGTATACCAGATGTGCCACTGAGATGTTGACTTTGTATACCAGAGGTGCCACTGACATCTTCAGATGTGCCACTGACATCTTCAGATGTGCCACTTTGTATACCAGATGTGCATACAATAGGAGATAGTTCATCATGCAGTGATTCTGTGTTGATGGCTGTGACAATCTGCTATAGGAGATAGTTTATGCAGTGATTCTGTGTTGATGGCTGTGACAATCTGCTATAGGAGATAGTTTATGCAGTGATTCTGTGTTGATGGCTGTGACAATCTGCTATAGGAGATAGTTTATGCAGTGATTCTGTGTTGATGGCTGTGACAATCTGCTATAGGAGATAGTTTATGCAGTGATTCTGTGTTGATGGCTGTGACAATCTGCTATAGGAGATAGTTTATGCAGTGATTCTGTGTTGATGGCTGTGACAATCTGCTATAGGAGATAGTTTATGCAGTGATTCTGTGTTGATGGCTGTGAAAATCTGCTATAGGAGATAGTTTATGCAGTGATTCTGTGTTGATGGCTGTGAAAATCTGCTATAGGAGATAGTTCATCATGCAGTGATTCTGTGTTGATGGCTGTGACATGCAGTTCACCAATAGACTGTGTAGTCCCACTTGAGGCTTGTCCTAACCCACCAATAGACTATGATCGTTGTGTGTAGTCCCACTTGAGGCTTTTCCTTACCCACCAATAGACTGTGATTTTTCTGTGTAGTCCAACTTGCGGCTTGTCTTAACCAACCAATAGACTGATTGTTGTGTGTAGTCCCATTTGAGGCTTGTCCTAACCCACCTAAAGACTGTGATTGTTCTGTGTAGCCCCACTTGAGGCTTGTCCTAACCCACCAATAGACTGATTGTTGTGTGTAGTCCCACTTGAGGCTTGTCCTAACCCACCAATGGACTGTGATTGTTGTGTGTAGTCCCACTTGAGGCTTGTCCTAACCCACCAATAGACTGTGATTGTTCTGTGTAGTCCCACTTGAGGCTTGTCCTAACCCACTAATAGACTGATTGTTGTGTGTAGTCCCACTTGAGGCTTGTCCTAACCCAACAATAAATAGACTGTGATTGTTCTGTGTAGTCCCACTTGAGGCTTGTCTTAACCCACCAATAGACTGAGATTGTTCTGTGTAGTCCCACTTGAAGCTTGTCCTAACCCACCAATAGACTGTGATTGTTCTGTGTAGTCCCACTTGAAGCTTGTCTTAACCCACCAATAGACTGTGATTGTTCTGTGTAGTCCCACTTGAGGCTTGTCCTAACCCACCAATAGACTGATTGTTGTGTGTAGTCCCACTTGAGGCTTGTCCTAACCCACCAATAGACTGTGATTGTTCTGTGTAGTCCCACTTGAGGCTTGTCCTAACCCACCAATAGACTGTGATTGTTCTGTGTAGTCCCACTTGAGGCTTATCCTAACCTACCAATAGACTGTGATTGTTCTGTGTAGTCCCACTTGGGGCATCCTAACCTACCAATAGACTGTGATTGTTCTGTGTAGTCCCACTTGAGGCTTGTCTTAACCCACCAATAGACTGAGATTTTTCTGTGTAGTCCCACTTGAGGCTTGTCCTAACCTACCAATAGACTGTGATTGTTCTGTGTAGTCCCACTTGAGGCTTGTCAACCCACCAATAGACTGTGATTGTTCTATGTAGTCCCACTTGAGGCTTATCCTAACCCACCAATAGACTGATTGTTCTGTGTAGTCCCACTTGAGGCTTGTCCTAACCCACCAATAGACTGTGATTGTTGTGTGTAGTCCCACTTGAGGCTTGTCTTAACCTACTAATAGACTAATTGTTGTGTGTAGTCCCACTTGAGGCTTGTCCTAACCCACCAAAAGACTGTGATTGTTCTGTGTAGTCCCACTTGAGGCTTATCCTAACCCACCAATAGACTGTGATTGTTCTGTGTAGTCCCACTTGAGGCTTATCCTAACCTACCAATAGACTGTGATTGTTCAGTGTAGTCCCACTTGAGGCTTGTCTTAACCCACCAATAGACTGAGATTGTTCTGTGTAGTCCCACTTGAAGCTTGTCTTAACCCACCAATAGACTGAGATTGTTCTGTGTAGTCCCACTTGAGGCTTGTCTTAACCCACCAATAGACTGTGATTGTTCAGTGTAGTCCCACTTGAGGCTTGTCTTAACCCACCAATAGACTGAGATTGTTCTGTGTAGTCCCACTTGAGGCTTGTCTTAACCCACCAATAGACTGTGATTGTTCTGTGTAGTCCCACTTGAGGCTTATCCTAACCCACCAATAGACTGATTGTTCTGTGTAGTCCCACTTGAGGCTTGTCCTAACCCACCAATAGACTGTGATTGTTGTGTGTAGTCCCACTTGAGGCTTGTCCTAACCCACCAAAAGACTGTGATTGTTCTGTGTAGTCCCACTTGAGGCTTATCCTAACCCACCAATAGACTGTGATTGTTCTGTGTAGTCCCACTTGAGGCTTGTCCTAACCTACCAATAGACTGTGATTGTTCTGTGTAGTCCCACTTGAAGCTTGTCCTAACCCACCAATAGACTGTGATTGTTCTGTGTAGTCCCACTTGAAGCTTGTCCTAACCCACCAATAGACTGATTGTTCTGTGTAGTCGCACTTGAGGCTTGTCCTAACCCACCAATAGACTGTGATTGTTCTGTGTAGTCCCACTTGAGGCTTGTCTTAACCTACTAATAGACTGTGATTGTTGTGTGTAGTCCCACTAGAGGCTTGTGTTAACCTACCAATAGACTGTGATTGTTGTGTGTAGTCCCACTAGAGGCTTGTGTTAACCTACCAATAGACTGTGATTGTTCTGTGTAGTCCCACTTGAGGCTTGTCTTAACCTACCAATAGACTGATTGTTCTTTGTAGTCCCACTTGAGGCTTGTCTCAACCTACCAGTGGACTGATTGTTCTATGTAGTCCCACTTGAGGCTTGTCTTAACCTACCAATAGAGATTGTTCTATGTAGTCCCACTTGAGGCTTGTCTCAACCTACCAGTGGACTGATTGTTCTATGTAGTCCCACTTGAGGCTTGTGTTAACCTACCAATAGACTGATTGTTCTGTGTAGTCCCACTTGAGGCTTGTCCTAACCTACCAGTGGACTGACTTAAAGTTGCGAAGTCCCAGTTCCAAGTTGAATTGTTTATTGCCAGTACATGTTTGAATGTATCAGCTCTTAATTTGATTGTCAATACATTTTTTGTGTGTCCCAGCTCTCGGTTTTATTGTCTGATTGTCAGTTCATGTTGGTGTGTCCTAACTGTCACTTTGTTGTCCGATTGTCAGAACTTGTTTGTACGTCCCAGCTCTTATTTGTTGTTTAATTATCTGATTGTCCCACAGTTTGATGGCCTGGTTCCCTTCAACATCCCAGGCTCACACAATTCTGGAGACACAGGTATCTGGACTGTCAACGTCTGGCAACACTTGCCTCCTGTCTCCATTTGTTGTATAGTTTACTCTTTGTGTACCGTGGTGTACAGTTGCATACGTTATGTGTGTAATACATGTGTACACAGACGCATGCATGCTCACACACACAGACACAGACACATGCATGCTCACACACACAGACACATGCATGCTCACACACACAGACACATGCATGCTCACACACACAGACACAGACACATGCATGCTCACACACACAGACACATGCATGCTCACACACACAGACACATGCATGCTCACACACACAGACACATGCATGCTCACACACACAGACACACAGACACATGAATGCTCACACACACAGACACACACACAGACACATGCATGCTCTCACACACAGACACACACACACAGACACATGCATGCTTACACACACAGACACACACACACAGACATGCATGCTCACACACAGCCACACACACACAGAAATGCATGCTCTCACACACAGACACACACACACAGACACATGCATGCTCACACACACACAGACATGCATGCTCACACACACAGACACATGCATGCTCACACACACAGACACATGCATGCTCACACACACAGACACATGCATGCTCACACACACAGACACATGCATGCTTACACACACAGACACATGCATGCTCACACACACAGACACATGCATGCTCACACACACAGACACATGCATGCTCACACACACAGACACATGCATGCTCACACACACAGACACATGCATGCTCACACACACACACAGACACATGCATGCTCACACACACAGACACATGCATGCTCACACACACAGACACATGCATGCTCACACACACAGACACATGCATGCTCACACACACACAGACACACACACAGACATGCATGCTCACACACACACAGACACATGCATGCTCACACACACACACAGACACATGCATGCTCACACACACACAGACACACACAGACATGCATGCTCACACACACACACAGACATGCATGCTCACACACACAGACACATGCATGCTTACACACACAGACACATGCATGCTCACACACACAGACACATGCATGCTCACACACACAGACACATGCATGCTCACACACACAGACACATGCATGCTTACACACACAGACACATGCATGCTCACACACATACACAGACACATGCATGCTTACACACCCAGACACACACACACAGACATGTATGCTCACAAACCCAGACACACACACAGACATGCATGCTCACACACACATACACACACACACAGACACATGCATGCTCTCACACACAGACACACACACAGACACATGCATGCTTACACACACAGACAAACACACACAGACATGCATGCTCACACACACAGACACACACACACAGACATGCATGCTCTCACACACAGACACATGCATGCTCACACACACACAGACATGCATGCTCACACACACAGACACATGCATGCTCACACACACAGACACATGTATGCTCTCACACACACACACACAGACATGCATGCTTACAGACACACATGCCTGCTCACACACACACACACAGACACATGCATGCTCACACACACAGACACATGCATGCTCACACACACACAGACACATGCATGCTCACACACACACACAGACACATGCATGCTCACACACACACACACAGACACATGCATGCTCACACACACAGACACATGCATGCTCACACACACAGACACATGCATGCTCACACACACACACAGACACATGCATGCTCACACACACACAGACACATGCATGCTCACACACACACACACACACAGACACATGCATGCTCACACACACACAGACACATGTATGCTCACACACACACACACAGACACATGCATGCTCACACACACACACACACACACAGACACATGCATGCTCACACACACACAGACACACACAGACACATGCATGCTCACACACACAGACACATGCATGCTCACACACACAAACACACACACACAGACACACACACAGACACATGTATGCTCACACACAGACACACACACAGACACTTGCATGCTCTCACACACAGACACTTGCATGCTCTCACACACAGACACACACACAGACACATGCATGCTCACACACACAAACACACACACACAGACACACACACAGACACATGTATGCTCACACACAGACACACACACAGACACACACTTGTACTTCTCCCTCTGGTTCCTTCCTCTCTCTATGGCTCCCTTTTCCTCTCTAGCTCCCTCTCTCTCTGGCTCGCTCCTCTTTCTGGCTCCCTCCTCTCTCTGGCTCCCTCCTCTCTCTGGCTCCCTACTCTCTCTATGGCTCCCTTCTCCTCTCTAGCTCCCTCTCTCTCTGGCTCGCTCCTCTTTCTGGCTCGCTTCTCTCTCTGGCTCGCTCCTCTCTCTGGCTCCCTCCTCCTCTCTGGTTTGCTCCTCTCTCTGGCTCCCTCCTCTCTCTGGCTCCCTCCTCTCTCTGGCTCGCTCCTCTCTCTGGCTCCCTCCTCTCTCTATTCAAAAACTTAACCCTCCTTTTTATTCACATATGCATTTGCTTGGAGAATATCAGACTAGACATTCACACTGGATTTAATTCTTTGTTCACAGTCATCCTATCTTTCTACTCCATCATTTGTAAATGAAAAGTTATTGGACATGCCTTGAGACATTTAAATAAGAAATGACTGACATGCCCTGAGACATCTCTGGGAGAAATGATTGACATCACATGAGACATATCAGAAATGATTGACATCACGTGAGACATATCAGAAATGATTGACATCACATGAGACATATCAGAAATGATTGGCATCACGTGAGACATATCAGAAATGATTGGCATCACATGAGACATACAGAAATGATTGACATCACATGAGACATATCAGAAATAATTGACATCACATGAGACATATCAGAAATGATTGACATCACATGAGACATATCAGAAATGAATAACATCATGAGATGAGACACATCTGTATCACAAATGATTTTCATGAGATGAGACACATCTGTATCACAAATGATTGTCATGAGATGAGACACATCTGTATCACAAATGATTGTCATGAGATGAGACACATCTGTATCCCAAATGATTGTCATGAGACGAGACACATCTGTATCCCAAATGATTGTCATGAGACGAGACACATCTGTATCCCAAATGATTGTCATGAGATGAGACACATCTGTATCCCAAATGATTGTCATGAGACGAGACACATCTGTATCACAAATGATTGTCATGAGATGAGACACATCTGTATCCCAAATGATTGTCATGAGATGAGACACATCTGTATCCCAAATGATTGTCATGAGATGAGACAGGAGGCTGTGGACAGAGACCCTGACCAATGCTAGACAATGTGGAAAGAATCTCTCACAACAAGCGCCAGTGATAGCTGGCCTGCCAAGGCTTGCACCTGAGGCTACTGAGTGTCAGCAATGTTAATGCATTCTGTGATAATGTTGCGTTCAGAAGTGACATGACAGCACTTGGAACATTCCCATAAATGAGTGCTCTTCAGCAGCCAGCAGAGTTCCACTGTAGATTATTCTAGTAGCAATTGGATTATATGTCCCTCTTGTCTTTGGTGTGAGTATAGAGTGTCAGCCAGATGCCCGTCACTTCCCGCTGTCCCATCCTTTCTGCTTGTGTATTGTTTACTTGCTGTCAAGGGGCCTTAACCTCATCCAGCTTATTCATTAGTTCACCACCCATTAGTGCACAGCCAGCCAGTCTGCCTGTCTTTTGATTCCCCAAAACACCCACAAACCCCAGAACAAATATCCAAAGGACACTTAACTACCAGAGACCTCTAAAGAGAATCTCTCTTTGCTTGTCAGATAGTTCTATTTGCTTCTCTTCTAATGATCCTGTATGTTATGCAATCCTCCTCAGTTCTGTTTGCTTCTCTTCTAATGATCCTGTATGTTATGTAATCCTCCTCTGTTCTATTTGCTTCTATTCTAATGATCCTGTATGTTATGTAATCCTCCTCAGTTCTATTTGCTTCTATTCTAATGATCCTGTATGTTATGTAATCCTCCTCAGTTCTGTTTGCTTCTCTTCTAATGATCCTGTATGTTATGTAATCCTCCTCTGTTCTGTTTGCTTCTCTTCTAATGATCCTGTATGTTATGTAATCCTCCTCAGTTCTGTTTGCTTCTCTTCTAATGATCCTGTTAAGTTATGTAATCCTCCTCAGTTCTATTCGCTTCTATTCTAATGATCCTGTATGTTTTGTGATCCTCCTCAGTTCTATTTGCTTCTATTCTAATGAACCTGTATGTTATGTAATCCTCCTCTGTTCTGTTTGCTTCTCTTCTAATGATCCTGTATGTTATGTAATCCTCCTCAGTTCTGTTTGCTTCTCTTCTAATGATCCTGTTATGTTATGTAATTCTCCTCAGTTCTATTTGCTTCTATTCTAATGATCCTGTATGTTATATAATCCACATCAGTTCTATTTGCTTCTATTCTAATGATCCTGTATGTTATACAATCCTCCTAAGTTCTATTTGCTTCTATTCTAATGATCCTGTATGTTATGTAATCCTCCTCAGTTCTATTTGCTTCTATTCTAATGATCCTGTATGTTATGTAATCCTCCTCAGTTCTATTTGCTTCTGTTCTAATGATCCTGTTATGTTATGTAATCCTCCTCAGTTCTATTTGCTTCTGTTCTAATGATCCTGTATGTTATGTAATCCTCCTCTGTTCTGTTTGCTTCTATTCTAATGATCCTGTATGTTATACAATCCTCCTAAGTTCTATTTGCTTCTATTCTAATGATCCTGTATGTTATGTAATCCTCCTCAGTTCTATTTGCTTCTGTTCTAATGATCCTGTTATGTTATGTAATCCTCCTCAGTTCTATTTGCTTCTGTTCTAATGATCCTGTATGTTATGTAATCCTCCTCAGTTCTGTTTGCTTCTATTCTAATGATCCTGTATGTTATACAATCCTCCTAAGTTCTATTTGCTTCTATTCTAATGATCCTGTATGTTATGTAATCCTCCTCAGTTCTATTTGCTTCTATTCTAATGATCCTGTATGTTATGTAATCCTCCTCAGTTCTATTTGCTTCTGTTCTAATGATCCTGTTATGTTATGTAATCCTCCTCAGTTCTATTTGCTTCTGTTCTAATGATCCTGTATGTTATGTAATCCTCCTCAGTTCTATTTGCTTCTGTTCTAATGATCCTGTTATGTTATGTAATCCTCCTCAGTTCTATTTGCTTCTGTTCTAATGATCCTGTTATGTTATGTAATCCTCCTCAGTTCTATTTGCTTCTGTTCTAATGATCCTGTATGTTATGTAATCCTCCTCAGTTCTATTTGCTTCTGTTCTAATGATCCTGTTATGTTATGTAATCCTCCTCAGTTCTATTTGCTTCTGTTCTAATGATCCTGTTATGTTATGTAATCCTCCTCAGTTCTATTTGCTTCTGTTCTAATGATCCTGTATGTTATGTAATCCTCCTCAGTTCTATTTGCTTCTGTTCTAATGATCCTGTTATGTTATGTAATCCTCCTCAGTTCTATTTGCTTCTGTTCTAATGATCCTGTTATGTTATGTGATCCTCCTCAGTTCTGCTCCTTAGCCAAATGACATAGGCTTTCTTTTTATTAGCACTATTCTTCTTATTTCTTCAGGCCACTATGTTGAGAGCTTATACCCTCTGTTAACTCTTCTTTTAGTTTCACATGAATGTGAGTGTATGAATGAGTTTAGTGTATATATATGTGTGTGCGCACGTGTGCGGGTTTATATATATATATATATGTGTGTGTGTATATGCATGCATGCATACTACGTACATTAGCGCCTGCGACTGTAGAAAAGTCTGCCTGTCCGTGACTCTCTGTCTAAACTCCTGCCAACACCCTTGCAGAATTCACTCGCCCTCAAGCGCCTGGTGCCTATTGATCCATCTTTATAATCTAGTGATTGCCGCCAAGCTGTCGTAGAACTGAGATGACATTAGCAGTGATGTCGACCATGAGCTGCCTGACCTCTGGCTGTTGGTTTCCTGGGTATAGACCACGTGAGGGTGAGGAAGTGGGGGAACTCTGCTGCAGCTTACATCATGTAATCACAGGCTGCCCTTTGATGGCACACACAGACCACCTGCACATTTGCTTGATGAGTCTGTTACAGTCTTGACATGTGCAACCAGACCAGTAACAGCTGCCTTCTTGTGTAAATCTGGTAGCATGCTAGGATGTGTGAATGTTTCACTGGTGTCAGGCAGTGATGATTGTATCAGGTCATGTTGTTCAAGATTTCACATGTTTCAGATCTTGATGGAAAAATAAGTGAGGACAAACTTCTGGAACTCATTAAACAACCAAAACAGAAGATCTCCCTCAGCCAGGATGTGCCTGGTGTCCTCTCAGCCAAGAAATCAGTCAGTGTGTCCACATTTAGAGGACCTGATAATGTAAGTCTTCTCCTGTCATCAGTCTTGACTGGGGGGTCTTTCTCATGTCTGACTGGGGTTGTCTTTCACTCATGACTACGGAGTTGTGTCTCAGGTCTGACTGTGGGGTTGTATCTCAGGTTTGACTGGAGTTGTCTCTTAAGTCTGACTGTGGGGTTGTCTGACTATGGGCTTGTCTCTCTTGTCTGACTGCGATGTTGTCTCTCATATGTGAATATGGGGAATCCAAATGAGGTTTTGTGAGGGGGATCCACATGAAGGTTTGTCATGGACTCCAATAAGTAATGTGAGTCAATCTATATAAGGTTTTGTGAGTGAATCTACATAAGGTTTTGTGAGTGAATCTACATAAGGTTTTGTGAGTGAATCTACATAAGGTTTTGTGAGTGAATCTACATAAGGTTTTGTGAGTGAATCTACATACAGTTTTGTGCGTGAATCTACATGAGGTTTTGTGCGTGCATCTACATAAGGTTTTGTGAGTGAATCTATATAAGGTTTATGAGTGAATTTACATAAGGTTTTATGGGTGAATCTACATAAGGTTTTGTGAGTGAATCTACATACGGTTTTGTGAGTGAATCTACATAGTTTTGTGAGTGAATCTACATGAGGTTTTGTGCGTGAATCTACATAAGGTTTTGTGAGTGAATCTACATACGGTTTTGTGAGTGAATCTACATAAGGTTTTGTGAGTGAATCTACATAAGGTTTTGCGAGTGAATCTTCATTAGGTTTTGTGAGTGAATCCATATGAGTTGTCAGTGAACGATTGAACAAAGTAAAGCAGATATGGCATGGAGGCCTGTCTTACATTCGGCCCTTCTAAACACCACTTTCATCAAGCAGTTGTATTTTGTGTTTGCAATTAAGCATGTTATGTTCATGTAATAATATGTATATTATGAATATCAAGAAAAAACACAAAAGAATGGGTGATAAAATGTATGTGCATGCTTGCGTGTGGGCACACACACAAATACACGCAACCAGCTCGCACATGTGCAGACACATACACACACACACACACACACACAGAAACACTGTCTCTCAAACAGACACTTAAAAACACATGCAGCCACATACCCAGACACATACACACATGCAGATGCACAGACAGACAGACCTGCAAACACACAGACACAAAAACACATGCAACCACAGACACAGACACACACACACACACACACACACACTGGACATGCATACTTAGATACATCCAGATAGATACACAGCACTCGCACATACACACACATATACACAGGAAGCTTCACAGACACACACGTAGCCACACACAAAATGCATACACATAATGACAGACACACAGATGTACACACAGACACACACACAGTCATACACAACACTCAGACATGCACACAGTCACACATGCAAAGACACACACACAGAAATGGACACACTTACATGCAGACACAGATACACACGATCCTTCACAGACACACACACGGACACATACAGAGGCACACACACTCAGACAGTCATGTGACACTATACAGACTTAAGAAAAATGCCCACGCACACAGATGCAAACTCACACAGAACTGCACAAAGTCGCACACAAACTTATACAGTTACCCATACATACACTCATAGGTACACAGTAATCGTACATGCACAAACACGCCTACACATGCATACATATCATACATGCTTTAATTTAATTTTAACTGATAATGCAGTATGGATTATTTACACTTAAAGGTGGCATAAAATCACTGGTAATCATCAAATGAAGTTTGCGGTTAAAGGAGTAGGGACTCTTTGCAGTTTTCAAATCGAGTGGAAGATGGTTCCATAAATGAGCAGTGAAAAGACATGAGTTCAATAAAACATCAGAGTGAACTCCTGAAGTTTGTGAAAGTGTTATGGAAAGTTATGTTGATCATTTCACAGAAAATTGAACACAAGCGGATTGTTCGAGACTCGTCTGGGCGGGAAGAGAGCACCATTACCCGAACGATTGGAGACAAATCATACACTGTGACCACGGTAACGGAGACGGATGGTAGCCAGCAGCAGCATCAGACTTTCAAAAACATGGATGAAAGTGAGTAGTCAGTTGTTGTCAGTGTCCTTTCATGTGTGCACATCAGCTTCTGTTGTCTTCACATTGTTTTGAGAAAGCCATCATCATCATGTAGTGCTGGCCCTGCAGACAAGGATATCCATAATAGATCTGGATCTGTCTCCCTCATCACAGGTAAATCTCCCAGAATGTAGCTAACCTACCTGTGATCTCCCTCAACCCTGGTCTATTCCCCCAGAATGTATCCTGACCTACCTGTGATCTCCCTCAACCCTGGTCTGTTCCCCCAGAATGTATCCTGACCTACCTGTGATCTCCCTCAACCCTGGTCTATTCCCCCAGAATGTATCCTGACCTACCTGTGATCTCCCTCAACCCTGGTCTATCCCCCAGAATGTATCCTGACCTACCTGTGATCTCCCTCACAACTGGTCCATCCCCCAGAATGTATCCTGACCTACCTGTGATCTCCCTCAACTCTGGTCTATTCCCCCAGAATGTATCCTGACCTACCTGTGATCTCCCTCAACTCTGGTCTATTCCCCCAGAATGTATCCTGACCTACCTGTGATCTCCCTCAACCCTGGTATATCCCCCAGAATGTATCCTGACCTACCTGTGATCTCCCTCAACCCTGGTCTATTCCCCCAGAATGTATCCTGACCTACCTGTGATCTCCCTCAACTCTGGTCTATTCCCCCAGAATGTATCCTGACCTACCTGTGATCTCTGCATGGATATTACACACGCTTTCTCAGTACTTCATGAGATTTGTGAGTTGAATGCCCTCATGAACTTTAAGAGTTACTGGAATTTGAGGTACTATAGTCTGTTGCAGGTAAAATTCTAAGCTTAACTGGCTATAGTCTTTTCATCTAAAATTCTTATCTTGACTAACTAAAGTCTTTCAAAAAAGTGTTTTCTCTTTGTAAATTTAAATTGTGCAGACTCAGACAAAACATTGCACAGTTTATTGCCTGGCATATTTCGCGGTGTCTCATCAAATACATTACTACAATGTTAAATCAGCATATAATAAAGCAAAAATAAATTTCTTTTCTTCATGGAACACACAAACCACATTGTCAAGCTGCTGTTATGTAGCACAGCTTTGTCCTTTGCGTACGTCGATGTCACACCCAGGTTCGTCTTTAGATTTGCTACAGGAGGAGTCGATTTGGAAGATTATAGACGAGGAGAAAGATGGTCGTGTCAATAGTGGTGATGATGATGATGTCTTGCTTGCTGCATGACTCTGATGCTTGTATAATAACATGTCTGGAAACAACTCTTCTATTCTGTACTGTCTTTATTGTGATACTTCGGCAATGTCACAAACAACATCAGTGGTATTCTGAAAGTCGCTGTGTTCTCCCTAATGCTACATACTCTTGAGTTCTTGTTGTGTTTTTCATCTCTAGTTACTTTGTTAACTTGTTCTAGTGTCTTTAACTGCCACCTGGCTTCTAGTGCTGTTTGGTACTAACAGCTTGGTTGTCGACTCTAACATCTGAATAATGTTGCTATCTAATGTGTCTCTGTTAACCATGGATCCATGTATCTGGTGTTTTGTCTCTGTAGCTCGATGTCTTGTTTAATGTCTCTTCTTTAGTGTCTGTCTTTGAGGCTCCATGTGGCTGGCTCCTCCTCTTCTAGTGTTGAGTTGGCATCTCCACAACTGCGAGGATCCTTGAGACTAGTAACTTGTTCTCTGAGTCTCAACAGCCGAAGGTTTTCTTTGAGGGTCAATATGACTGGTCCCTCCTCTTTCTAAGTCTTGTGGACTGAAGAGTTACCCTAGTGGTTTCTCACTCACTATTTATACTTAGATGCTAGAATGCTAGTACGTCTCAACATGTTTACTATGTATGTTTTTCACGTGGGATTTTCTAATTATATCTCAATTGCATCAGATTTCATCATCTTATTCTGTGCTAATATAGTAGTTAAATTGACAGTTGACATCTTAGGGACTCCTACGTTATCTCTCAAAGGGCACGTCAACAATGACGTCAAATACTATTTACAAAATATTGTTGCTAAAAGCTGTTGATTTTCTTCTCATTAACTATTATATAAAATTCTACCTCCTGACAAATAAGTGATGACGTCTGTAGTTAGTTTTGGCCACCAAAATTCTGCGTCATCTCCTCATCAACAAGTGATAATGTCTCCCTGTAACGTATATCTGTCTGCTGACAATTCACAATTAGTCACTTGATTATCACGCTAACTTCACATTGATCTCGTTAAAGTCTAATTAAGCTAAAAATTATAATCTTGACTAACTGTAATCTGTGTAATCTGTTTAAGAAATGATTCTCATCGTGACTAACTATAGTCTGTTTCAGCTAAAATTCTAATCCTGAATAACTGTAGTCTGTTTCACCTAAAATTATAATCTTGACTAACTGTAATCTTTTATAAACTTGACTAAGTATGGAACATGACACTGGTTTTTCTCCCAGGCTGTATCCTGGTCTAAATGTGATCTCTCTCATCACTAATTTGAGGCAGTGCTATTGAGATGATGTATAATGTGAGACAATATTGTTGACGTGTTAAATGTTATGAGGCAAATAGTTGACCTGCTGTGAGGTAATATAAGTAACATGATGTATTTTGTGAGGCAAATAGTTGACCTGCTGTGAGGTAATATAAGTAACATGATGTATTTTGTGAGGCAAATAGTTGACCTGCTGTGAGATAATATTAGTAACATGATGTATTTTGTGAGGCAAATTGTTGACCTGCTGTGAGATAATATAAGTAACATGATGTATTTTGTGAGGCAAATAGTTGACCTGCTGTGAGGTAATATAAGTAACATGATGTATTTTGTGAGGCAAATTGTTGACCTGCTGTTAGGTAATATAAGTAACATGATGTATTTTGTGAAGCAAATAGTTGACCTGCTGTGAGGTAATATAAGTAACATGATGTATTTTGTGAGGCAAATAGTTGACCTGCTGTGAGGTAATATAAGTAACATGATGTATTTTGTGAGGCAAATAGTTGACCTGCTGTGAGGTAATATAAGTAACATGATGTATTTTGTGAGGCAAATAGTTGACCTTCTGTGAGGTAATATTATTGTTTGTTATTAGGTAATAAGTTGACATGAACTGTGATGTTTGTTTCAGCCCAAGTTTCACACTTTGAAGACGAGTGGAACAAGAAGAAACCTATCCAGCCCAGAAGCCCAGCTGACCCTGTGTTGACCCCTAAAGCGGGTAGCTTGTTGGACTTGAACGACAGGGGCCTGTTTACCCGAATATTTGATTGGAAGGATCAGTAGTCAGTCAAGTTTCCCCGCATTATTTTAATCGGAAGGATCACAAATCAGTCAAGTTTACCCAGTTGTTGGATTAGAAGGGTTAACAATCAACTAACTTTTCTCGTGTGTTACACAAGATACAGGTATTAGGAGAAAAAAAAATACGTTGGGGTGGTGGTGGGGGGGGGGGGGGGGGTTGTTGATTTTGTGGTCACCTGATAGATATTTTTGGTCTTTTGATGGGTTTGTTGTTGTTGTTGTTGTTGTTTGTATTCTGAAGATAGATCATATCGTTTGTTGTCACATCATATAGATCATATCTGTGTGTTTACAGTTAGTAGTCAGGTGTCTTAGTTTGTTGTCACATCAGATAGATCATATCTGTGTGTTTACAGTCAGTAGTCAGGTGTCGTCGTTTGTTGTCACATCATATAGATCATATCTGTGTGTTTACAGTCAGTAGTCAGGTGTCTTCGTTTGTTGTCACATCATATCTGTGTGTTTACAGTCAGTAGTCAGGTGTCTTCGTTTGTTGTCACATCATATAGATCATATCTGTGTGTTTACAGTCAGTAGTCAGGTGTCTTCGTTTGTTGTCACATCATATAGATCATATCCGTGTGTTTACAGTTAGTAGTCAGGTGTCTTAGTTTGTTGTCACATCAGATAGATCATATCTGTGTGTTTACAGTTAAGAGTCAGGTGTCTTAGTTTGTTGTCACATCAGACAGATCATATCTGTGTGTTTACAGTTAGTAGTCAGGTGTCTTAGTTTGTTGTTACATCAGATAGATGTTTACAGTCAGTAGTCAGGTGTCTTCGTTTGTTGTCACATCATATAGATCATATCTGTGTGTTTACAGTCAGTAGTCAGGTGTCTTCGTTTGTTGTCACATCATATAGATCATATCTGTGTGTTTACAGTTAGTAGTCAGGTGTCTTAGTTTGTTGTCACATCAGATAGATCATATCTGTGTGTTTACAGTCAGTAGTCAGGTGTCTTCGTTTGTTGTCACATCATATAGATCATATCTGTGTGTTTACAGTCAGTAGTCAGGTGTCTTCGTTTGTTGTTACATCATATAGATCATATCTGTGTGTTTACAGTTAGTAGTCAGGTGTCTTAGTTTGTTGTCACATCAGATAGATCATATCTGTGTGTTTACAGTCAGTAGTCAGGTGTCTTCGTTTGTTGTCACATCATATAGATCATATCTGTGTGTTTACAGTCAGTAGTCAGGTGTCTCCGTTTGTTGTCACATCATATAGATCATATCTGTGTGTTTACAGTTAGTAGTCAGGTGTCTTTGTTTGTTGTCACATCATATAGATCATCTCTGTGTGTTTACAGTTAGTAGTCAGGTGTCTTAGTTTGTTGTCACATCAGATAGATCATATCTGTGTGTTTACAGTCAGTAGTCAGGTGTCTTCGTTTGTTGTCACATCATATAGATCATATCTGTGTGTTTACAGTTAGTAGTCAGGTGTCTTAGTTTGTTGTCACATCAGAAAGATCATATCTGTGTGTTTACAGTCAGTAGTCAGGTGTCTTCGTTTGTTGTCACATCATATAGATCATATCTGTGTGTTTACAGTCAGTAGTCAGGTGTCTTCGTTTGTTGTCACATCATATTGATCATATCTATGTGTTTACAGTCAGTAGTCAGGTGTCTTCGTTTGTTGTCACATCATATAGATCATATCTGTGTGTTTACAGTTAGTAGTCAGGTGTCTTAGTTTGGTGTCACATCAGATAGATCATATCTGTGTGTTTACAGTCAGTAGTCAGGTGTCTTCGTTTGTTGTCACATCATATCTGTGTGTTTACAGTCAGTAGTCAGGTGTCTTCGTTTGTCACATCATATAGATCATATCTGTGTGTTTACAGTCAGTAGTCAGGTGTCTTCGTTTGTTGTCACATCATATAGATCATATCCGTGTGTTTACAGTTAGTAGTCAGGTGTCTTAGTTTGTTGTTACATCAGATAGATCATATCTGTGTGTTTACAGTTAAGAGTCAGGTGTCTTAGTTTGTTGTCACATCAGACAGATCATATCTGTGTGTTTACAGTTAGTAGTCAGGTGTCTTAGTTTGTTGTCACATCATATAGATCATATCTGTATGTTTACATTCAGTAGTCAGGTGTCTCCGTTTGTTGTCACATCATATAGATCATATCTGTGTGTTTAGTTAGAAGTCAGGTGTCTTCGTTTGTTGTCACATGAGATAGATGTTTACAGTCAGTAGTCAGGTGTCTTAGTTTGTTGTCACATCAGATAGATCATATTTGTGTGTTTACAGTTAAGAGTCAGGTGTCTTAGAGTGATATGGTCTGTCTTTTTTGGGTGGACCATCTGTTATCAGACCTCTATGTGTCATGTGTGCTGTATGTGTCCATGATGCACACAGATAAAATACACAGTCTGCAGCCTGAAGATTTATGTTTTAGTTTCTCGTCATCTGTTTATATTTCTCTGTTTTCATTTTGTTGTGTGTACATTAATACTATGTACGATGGTTGTGCTGATTGTCAAGACTTGTGTGTGCCAGGCTGTGCTAATGTGTACTCCAAAGTCCCCTTATTCTTGCTGCCCCTAGATTTATAATTTCTCCATTAACTCTCTCTCTCTCTCTCTCTTTTTCTTTCTCCCTCTCTCTTTCTCTCTCTGTCTTTCTCTCTCCCTCTCTCTTTCTTTATCTCTCCCTCTCTCTCTCTCTCTCTCTCTCTCTCTCTCTCTCTCTCTCTCTCTCTCTCTCTCTCTCTCTCTCTCTCTCTCTCTCTCTCTCTCTCTCTCTCTCTCTCTCAAAAGACACACTCACTAAGAAAATTTGAGAACGGCAGAGTAGTTTTTCAGATTCTCTCAAATATTCCTGTAGATATGATTTAGAATTGGAGGCTGTTGATTGTGTCTTGCTGGCAGTCACTTTTCATTGGCTACCTATATCCAAATCCTTGTGCAGATAACTAGTATGGGGACTTCACTTCTATAAAGGGTAGTTTTTTTTTTAGTATAGGGAAGGAAATTATACTTCCTGGCGATTTTAACATTGACATAAATAAAGCTAACCAGACATGGGATGTATCATTATATATCATGTAATCTTAAACAATCAGATACCCAAAGAGGGTTACGGAAACATTATTAACTACGAGGGGAAGTCAATCAGTAAGTCTTAAAAATGGTTGACAACTTGAAAACTTTTTTTTCTACACACACAGCCCCTTTATTTGTCAACATTAATTATCGCCAACATTAATGCACTTGTCACATTGTTTTATAATTCCTTCCAAATCTGCTGCATAAAACTGCATGCTCTTCTCTAAACCACATTTTTACTTCACATTCAACTTTTACATCATTCGTGAAATGTCTCCTGCTAGGGTGGGTTTTCAGTGGACCCCAAAAAGGGGGAAATCGGGAGTGGCTTAGTCATGGCTGTAAGATGGATGTTCAAGAAACTCCCTAGATGGCTAAGTTTCTCCTGAGTTAACTGAGCCGTCTGTTGTCTGGCATTGTTTTGAAGGAGCTGTACTCCTCTAATCAGCAGACCTGGAAGTGTTAATTGCATCATAAAGCAACAATAGAACTTTTACAGTATGAATCCGCATTAACATTGTCACTCTTTATTTTTTAATTGGTTTAAAGCACTCCTTGACAGTCTCAGAACTGTCAGCATTAGCTCCCCTGCTGAGGGCATAATCTTGAATTTTAGAACCTAAAGCACACTTTTGATTGGAACTGGTATTGATGCACCTGTGACCCGCCCCAGTAATAATCCTGTTCAGCATGTATTCTCCTTCATCTGTATATCAACAGAGATGCTGCAAGGACAGGCCTGATTGGTTCATTTTGTGTCCCTCCGTCAATTGTCTGGGTACCCACTTTGAGCACACTTTCTTAAGTTTCAGTTGATCATGCATTATGTTATACTAGCTGTACCCGGCCACGCACTGCTGTGGCCCAGAATGGTAAACTGGAAAAGAAATAAAATAGAAAGCACACCTGTCTTAATATGGTTAATATCAGTCATTGCACAGCTACAGAGATAGTCTGAAATGCCAACTCTAGAACACGCAACATATCAGTGAATGTCAATATTAGTGGTCGAATAAAGTGCACTGTTAGACAGAGAGAAAAAAAGATTATTTGTTTATCGAGGCTAAAGCATCTGTTGTGCTTAAACAGATAAAAGTAAAGCTGACTGCTATACCTCTAACTGACCAACAAACTGGCACACAAAAAATGAGAATAGCTGAGGAAGCAGTATTAAAATATAAATATTTAAGAAATGAAAACTGTAAAATAGTTATAAGCTCTCTGAGCTAACAGTAGCTGTCATAACCCCCCTTCCCCCCCCCCCTTTTTCCCCAATCATATCTCCCTCTCAGAATGATTGAACAATTATCAATAATGTGAAGTTCAGTGTTACACAGACAGTCAATGGTGGCCAATCAACTAAAAACAAATCTGGGCCGGCAATGAAACCACTAATGAAATGATCGTTGCTGGAGCTACGTCGTTTCTGGTTTGTGCGATGTCATGACAAAAAAACATGCTTTGAGTCAAAGGCAACATTGTGTGAAAAATTGAAGGCAATCGGTTCAGTAGTGTCTGCGTCTATAGTTAAAAAACTCAGAAAATTAACATTTTTATTAATATAGATGCTGAAACATGTGAGCACCCTACTGCAGCTGCTACAGAATCAGCCGTTACTGGTCTGTGACCTTTAATCATCTCCTCCACCCGCTGCATGGATGTGTCTGTTGCAATCTCAACAGGATGACCAGATCAGACATCCCAACAATTTTAGAGCATCCTTGAGTTTTTTTAAAATTCAGATTTGCACCTATTAACGGGATAAATATTTATCAGCATAAACAGGAAACGTTTCCTTATGAATATCCTTTGCAGGCAGCCCTTCTGTCCCCCCCCCCCCCCTTTTTTTTTTTCTCAAAGAAAAAACGCGAATCAGCACGTTATTTTTTTTTATTGGTAAGTGCAGTCACAATTTTATTTCT